ATGTTTGAAAGTATTCATGTCTGCCATTGACCGGGGTTGAGCACCCAGAAAGGTAGGCGCTCCAAAACAGATCCCACCTGGTAGAAAAATTGCAACCTGAGACAGAACAGAAGCTTGAAACTCCCAAGGAAAACAAGCTAACAAACAACACGTCATCACACTGTGCGCTGCTCATTCGCGCTGACACCCCTCCACCTCCCGAGCCACAGAAAGACCGTTAGTTTGGAGACTGAAACACGGAAACAAAAAATGCCGACCAAGGGGATGGAGGATGCAAGGGAGCTTTTCAGGGCTCTACCCAGAAAAGGGCATTTCATTACATTCAATGCTGGCTTTTTGTGGGGGAGCCCCGCTGGCTCCCTGGAGCCAACTACCCAAAGAGCAGGAAAATAGGGACCCAGGAGGCGGCTACACCACACACCTCATTATGAAGACAAGACAGCTGGTGGCAACCGCCGACCCAAGGCGACACAAGACAGCTGAGGGCCCATCACATTAACAAGATAACGGGCAGCCAGGACCCTGTTTGACCTTCAAAACCCCCGTGCCCGAATGTCAGCCCAAGACATATTACCAAACACAGCAGCAAAAATAGCAAACTTACGAACGTCATGGGTGCGAGGGGAGACTGCAGACTGGCTAGACTTGATAACCCTGCAGACGACTTGAGAGACCCAAGCCCTGGAACAGGGAACAAGAGATACCGGGTCAACCCATAGAGTATCCCTGGACACAGAAGCAGAGGCATGCAGGTAAAACAAGCGGGAAACCCACTTGAGGGACGAGGTCGTTTCAACCATGTCCAAGCACACCCACTCCAAGATGATCTGACGAAGAAAAAAGGAAGGCACCTGCCCCAAAAGCCTCAAACCCCCCCCCCCCAGATGGGGAGGAGCCAGCACACCCGACCACAGGCAGGAAGACACGACCTAAAACACCCACAAATTGTGGGACCAAGCGTGTGCAAACAGAGCCAGCCTCTCCCCCAGCGCCCTATCAATGGGGAGAATGTGAAAGGGCCGGTGACCTTTCCGAAAACCCAACTTGCAGGCAAAGCGAGCACTACGCCGATCAGACGAAGCCAGTTTTGGAACAGGAGCAGGCTCAGAAACTGGCACTATGGACCCACCTCGACCAGCAGATACCTAAAACCTGGCACAACCTTTCTGGGAAGCACGAGAGTGCACACCCTAGACAACTAACATATCCGAATGAGGGCAGCAACTAGCAGAAGCTGCCTCCAAAAACTGAATGGCAACTGAGTACGCAAACAACTGCGGATAAAATGGAGATGAAAACCTAAGAGCCTGAGCCCAAGTGGAATCCACAGAGAGAGTGAGGACAACCTGCCGACACGTGAGGCATAAAACAGAGACACCGCCTCCTGGAGGATATACGCATACAGTTTGAGCAATGTCGCCGACGCCCTAGCCGCCGAAGTCAACGCAGCAGACGAGGACTCAGCACTCAACACCTCCACAAGCCAGTGTGAGGACAGCTCGAGAAGGGAAAAGAAGCAGAGGACCATGTCCAAATGCCGGCGAGCACGATGATCCTCTGCAACCAAAGCAGCCAAAATGGAAGGGACCTGAACATGCAACCGTGGCACAGCAATCTCATGAGGAAGCACAAACCTGCATCACCGAAGTTAGCTCTCGCCACTCAAGCGTGCGGGTACGACAGAACGTATACCATGCCCCCAACAAAAAGAAAGGGCAGTCTGCAAGCCAGGAAGATGCTGGAATCTCTTAACGCACCCAATACAGGGAAAAAGACAAACTCAATAGAGTTTTTGCCTTACAGAGACAACATCCGGGTTTGCCCCATGGTTTGCAAGAGGTAGGCACCGAGGCCCTCCTAAACCTCTGCAGGGAATACTCCAAGAAGGACAAAGCCGCAGAACCCAAGAGAACCCTGTGGGGGTGACCCCATATCAAATTCGTAGAAAGGGGAAATAGGAAAATCCCGGACCTTGCAACAGCAGACCCTGCCCCAAAGGCACCAAAGACCAGGCAGGATCGAAAGGGACCCAAGTGCCCCAAACCACCTCCCCCCCCCCCCCCCAACACAAGAATCATCCAAACCAGGACCTAGGGCAGAGCCATCCACAGCGTCCTCCACCCTTGAAGAAAAGGCATCAAAGAAAGGGACCTGCCGGAAGGACCCATAAGCCTCGGCGGGAGGAACAGGCTCAAATACCTCCATCCCCGCCTCAAATGGGGCAACCCTCGGAGCTGCCAGAATCTCATCCCCAGCTAAACCCCGTCCCAACTCAAAACCCTCATATGTTTGGGAGCCAGCAGCAGGGAAAAAAACGGTGAACCACACCAACAAGAGAGGACGAAGGGGGTGCAGACAGAATCAAGGTCGAAGTGACTAATGCCCCCAAAATCTGGATCCCTAAAACCAAAATGGGGGCAGCCCTGGTACATTCGGGTGGGCAACCAATCTAGCGCATTGCAGCAACCTAAATCTAGCATGCAACGTGCATGCTGCTGACCCCTAACTTCAGCTAAAGCAGAATGGGTAAACTGGAGCACAAGCGGAGAACAAGTTTCACAAGACTCCGGGTCAAAGGTGTCGTCGACCCAACAAACAGCATGGCACAGGCAAAACAGGTGATTGTCACCTTTGACTGTCACTTGCACAAGGCAAGATGGGGCACGGAGGACATGTCCATCAGTCAACCAAGCCCCAACGGGGGTTACCAGGGGCCCATAGGGAGATGTATCCCTACGGGAAGCCTGGACACTGGTGCTGCCAAACTTGGTTGTAACCCCATGTATTATCTGGGCAAACTGGCCACTGTGAAGTGAGCAGCCTCAAAGGCCCTGAGAAGGACTGCCCTACCGAACCTTGGTAGGGCAGCTGCCGGGGTTCCCAATAGAAACCCTGGCAGCTTCCCACGGCAAAAAGAAAACTAAAAGTAGGAAAGAGAACCCAGAGGAAGCAACACAACCCAGGAGACCAGAAAGAGGCACGGTCGCTGTGATAATGCAAGCTGTGCAACCCAGTGTGCCCCAACCAGCAAAAACCACCCCCTACCCAGGGTCAAATGAAAGCCCCCAAGACCTAAGCTGAGCCCCAAGAGCGAGTCAGAAGCCAAGCAGCCGCTACCTCTACGGGAGTGGGAACCCGAAGACCCCAGGGAAGACAACCCTGAGGCCCAAGGGGTGTACTCACAGGGCACTAAGGGAAGGGAGTCCTAAGCGCATGCAGCCATTGGTACTAACTCCTGGCCACCGCACCAACAAAACCACTGTCTGGGTGAAAAGCATGTCATGTCAGGCAACTGAAACCAGAGGAGAAGTCCACCCCGTTTAGCTTCAATCGACAAACTAATGGTCCAGGTGCTGGCTCTTCCCTTCCCGGGGCATGGAGGGGGGGGGGGGTCAGCACGTACGGGCAGCATGCAGTGTGATGATGTGTTGTTTGTTAGCTTATTTTCCTTATGGGAGTTTCTAGCCTCTGATCGGTCTCAGGTTGCAATTTTTCTACCAGGAGGGGTCCGTTTTGGAGCGCCTACCTTTCTGGATGCTCAAACCCGGTCGATGGCAGACATGAATACTTTCATACAAGAGAGTTTCATAGGCCATTGCTCCCTGCACCTCTCTGAGGGGGACCATATTCTGGTTAGTGGTCCCCAGTAGGCATAACAACTCCATATGACTGGAGTTATGGACAACAGTATAGTATATGGACCATATACTATATTAGCTAATATCAGTTCAACAGCTCCAGGAACCCGACGGGGGCTCCTCCACAGACAACAGGGACTTCCTCTGGAGGCGGCAGCACCACAGGTCTCCTAGGGAAGTACCTAGGAAAGGTCACCCTAGGCACATGCAACTCCTGTACTCTATGATACCTGGCCACTACACCAATACACAGCAGGAACAGCCACACAGGGCAAAATTCCAGAACAGGAATTTGAGGCCAGAAGGTACCAATCTGACCATCATCACATCATTTCAAGAATTGGGGTGAAAGGGCTGCCAGTTCACTTAAGCTGGCTTCTATCCATCCCCTCCTTTAGGGAGGATGGGATGTGGAAGGGGGGGGTAGCGCTGAAGAGCGGGAGTGATAATTGGATGAAGTGTTGCTCGTTTTTCTTCTGTCTGGGAAAATTATTTTGCTTTTTTTTCAGACGTAGGTAGCAATTTTCACCAGAATGTGGTCTATTATGTTTCACTTATCTTTCTGGGTCTTTTCCTGGTCGATGGCAATTTGACATACTTTAAATGTAAAGTGCTCATAGGCCATTGTTCCCTGCGCCTCTCTGAGAGAATCAGGTTCTGGCTCGTGATCCCCAGTAGGCAAAAGGACTATTGTGACTGATGACCCCAAACTAATATAGCATATATCAGTTCGGATAGCTTCAAGGAACAGGTGGGGCTCCCCACAAAAAAGTTATGACACTCTTATTTTTGAACATAGATAATGGTAAGCATTATTACTGGAAAAGCTACAGAAGCTTTATTATATATACTAACTGTAGTGGGCATTTAGTGTATATATATATATATATATATATACATAGTAGAATAGTGACAACAGAAGATAATGTGAAATTAGGTTAAGACAAAACTGTATGTTTAATAAAAGACTGAAAATGTGCCAGTTGCTTACTTGTGTCAACATCAAAGAATGTGATATTTTATCTGACGATCTTCTATATGTGTAACATATTTATCAATATAATTTATCAAACCACTTCTAGTAATGATATAATAATGACAAAATTAATCATATAAAAGGTAGTATATCTGTATAGAATGATGACAAATATAAAATGCTTTTCAGTCTACTAACTTTCATGTTTAATCTAAAAAAGGCTTCACGTTATGAACAGTAGAGGGTACTATTTTACTGTCTTCCAAGTACTCTCCATATTCGATGAACAAAATTAATAACCACTTTAGAAAGACAAAAGGAGTGGTGGAAGAAGGGGAAGAGGAATGCTTCTGAAATGACTATTCATGCAACGAATAACTACATACCATTTTATTTTTTGTGTCCTAATATCCGAGAACACAAGTGCAGCAAGAGCACTGCTAGCATCAACCTGCGGCACTCCTTCACGGTACCTAAGTTAACAGCAATAATACTCAGTCTTAATAGCATTAACTACTAATATAACATATCAAAAGAACAAAGATATTATATGCACAAATACACACAATAAATATTAAATGACAAGAATATATAAAGACTAATGTGAGATTTAGGTTTGCATGCTAATTTAAATAGTAAAATCAAATGGACTTTTTTCAAAATTAATATTATTTTACTCAAAGTGTTTCTGCGATCTCTTTCCTTTCTAGTGTACTCATTCAGGAGTCATCTTCTTGAGGTTATCTTGAGAGGATTTCGGGGCTTAGCGTTCCCACTTGCCGGTCCTCAACCAGGCCTCCTTTTTGATACATACCCCTAGGAAGCAACCCGTAGCAGCTGTCTAACTCCCAGGTACTATTTACTGCTAGGTGAACAGGCGCATCAGGGTGAAAGAAACTCTGTCCATTTGTTTCTGCCTCCACCAGGGATCAAACCTGGAACCTCAGGACTACAAATCCGAAGGCTGTCCATTCAGCTGTTAGGCTCCCTCAGTGACAGTGACAAGGGTCAGTGACAAGAGAAATTCCACTCACACAAACACACACACACACACAGGAATCCAGGAAATGAAGAACGAAATAAGCAACCTGAAAAGAGAGCTGACAGCAGCAAAGGAGGAGATTAGAGCCCTCAAAGAGAACGGCGTCGATGCCGAGACTCAGAAAATCATCCAAGGAGGTGGTAATAGTATTTTGGAAGAGAATGCCACAATAAAAGCAACATTTGCAGAAATGCTAACAAAAATAACTGAAGTAATGTCTGCAGTGATGGAGGTAGCTATGAAAGCAGCCACCTCACAGGAAGCGGCACGCTCCACTAGCCAGCTGCTGGAAAGGAAAAGATCAGTGGTTGCTGTGGGTCTTAAAGAGCAGGAAGGCTCCAATAGGAAAGAGTGGAATGATGAGGACAAAGCAGCAGTGAATGAAATACTGAAGGCACTAGACATGGAAGGGGCTGAGCATAGCATTGAGAAGGTTTTCAGGCTAGGCTGGTACAACAAAAACCGAGACCGTGTGATAAAGATAGTGTTTGCAAATGAGAACACAAAGGAGAAGATTCTAACAAGGAAGAGCTACCTGCAAAATATGGGAGAATTCAAAAATGTATTCCTCCAGAGAGACATGACAAGGGAGGAGAGAGCCATGGTGGCAGAAGTAAGGAAGAGGCACAGGGCGAGAGGGGAAAATCAGGAAATAACAGCTCCCAACACAACATCCCCAGAGGCGAGGGGGGGGGAACTCACAACCAGCTACCCAGTAACACCAGCAGGGAGAGCAACCCCACCACCCTCCTCTGCATAGAAAACCCCCCTACCCCAAACCCTCCCTGCCCCCACTCAAATGTTCAGCCAAATCTCCCTCCCCCCCAACACCCAATCCCCACCCTTTTACCCCTCCCCTCCTCCCACCAAGTCCCCCCTCCCCTCCTCTCCTTACTGTCCTCCCTTCCCTTTCACCCCATACCCTCCCTGTCCCTCCCCCTTCGCTTGATTCCCTGCCCCTCATCCCAGTATAATCTGAGACCCTGTTATCCACCTCACAGATCCTCACACCCATGGAACAGCTTTCCTCACCAGCAGAACACTCACCAAGGAGGTGTTTTGAGAAGGGACAGAAGAAAGTGAGCCTCAAGGCAATGTACACTAACATAGATGGAATTACAAATAAAGCAAATGAGCTTGGAGAATGGGTACTAGAGGAAAACCCAGACATAATAGCGCTCACAGAAACAAAGCTAACGAAAACCATAACAAATGCAGTGTTCCCACAGGACTATTATGTTATGAGGAAAGAGAGAGAAGGAAGAGGTGGTGGTGGTGGTGTAGCTCTGCTGGTAAGAAAAGGCTGGGATTTTGAGGAGATGGTTATTCAGGGCTGTGAAGGTTTCAGTGACTACGTAACAGGTACCATAACAACTGGAGGGCAAAAAATTATAGTCGTAGTCATGTATAATCCACCACCAACGTAATAGAGAGAGCAGCTTCTGTTGCTAGCAGGAATGGATCTGGACTACTAATTATGGGAGACTTCAACCATGGGAAGATAGATTGGGAGAACAGAGACCCGCATGGAGGACCAGAAACATGGAGAGCTAAGCTGCTGGACGTGGCAACAAGAAACTTTCTAAGCCAGCACATCATGGAACCAACAAGAATGAGAGGAGAAGATGAACCAGTAATGCTTGATTTGATATTTACCCTAAATGAGTGGGATATAAGGGAAGTTAAGAATGAGTGATCACAGTGTATTGAATTTTGAGTACCTGGTAGAGCTAGGAATTCTCCCCCCCAAAAAAGAACTAGGAAACAAAAGGCTGGCATACCGAAAGGGGAATTATGAAGAGATGAGAAGTTTCCTGAAGGAAATACCTTGGGACACAGACTTCAGAGATACAAGATATGATGGACTATGTTACCCAAAAGTGTCAGGAGGCAGTAAACAGGTTCATCCCAGCCCAAAGGGAAAAATCCGAGAAGCAACAGAAGAATCCATGGTATAATAGGGCATGTATGGAAGCAAAGAAACTGAACAAAAGAGCATGGAGGAACTTCTGGAATAACAGAACACCAGAAAGAAGAGAGATACCAGAGAACCAGGAATGAGTATGTCAGGGTGAGAAGAGAAGCAGAGAAAAGTTATGAAAATGATATAGCAAACAAAGCCAAGACCGAACCAAAGCTACTCCACAGTCACATCAGAAGGAAAACAACAGTGAAAGAACAGGTATTAAAACTTAGAACAGGCGAGGACAGGTATACAGAGAATGACAAAGAGGTGTGTGAAGAACTCAATAAGAGGTTCCAGGAGGTCTTCACAATAGAATAAGGTGAGGTCACTGTGCTAGGAGAAAGGGAGGTAAACCAGGCGGCCTTGGAAGGGTTCGAAATTATGAGAGAGGAGGTCAAGAGACACCTGCTGGATCTGGATGTTCGAAAGGCTGTTGGTCCAGATGGGATCTCGCCATGGGTACTGAAAAAGTGTGCAGAGGCACTTGCTTGCCACTCTCCATAGTGTATAGTAGGTTACTGGAGATGGGAGACCTACCAGAAATATGGAAGACGGCAAATGTGGTCCCAATATACAAAAAGGGCGACAAGCGAGAGGCACTGAACTACAGGCCTGTGACCTTGACTTGTATACCATGCAAGGGGATGGAGAAGATCGTGAGAAAAAACCTGGTAACACATCTGGAGAGAAGGGACTTCGTGACAAATCACCAACATGGGCTCAGAGAAGGTAAATCTTGCCTGACTGGCTTAATAGAATTCTACGACCAGGTGACAGATTAAGCAAGAAAGAGAAAGCTGGGCGGACTGCATTTTCTTGGATTGTTCGAAAGCCTTTGACACAGCACCGCATAAGAGGCTAGTACATAAGCTGGAGAGACAGGCAGGTGTAGCTGGCAAGGTGCTCCAGTGGATAAGGGAGTACCTGAGCAATACGAAGCAGAGAGTTACGGTGAGGGGTGAGACCTCAGATTGACGTGAAGTCACCAGTAGAGTCCCACAGGGCTCTGTACTCGGTCCTATCTTGTTTCTGATATATGTAAATGATCTCCTGGAGGGTATAGATTCATTTCTCTCAATGTTTGTGGACGATGCCAAAATTATGAGAAGGATTAAGACAGAGGAGGACTGCTTGAGGCTTCAAGAAGACCTAGACAAGCTGAAGGAATGGTCAAACAAATGGTTGTTAGAGTTTAACCCAAGCAAATGTAATGTAATGAAGATAGGTGTAGGGAGCAGGAGGCCAGATACAAGGTACCATCTGAGAGATGAAATACTTCAAGAGTCAGAGAAAGAAAAAGACTTGGGGGTTGATATCACGCCAGACCTGTCTCCTGTAGCCCATATCAAGAGGATAACATCAGCGGTATATGCCAGGCTGGCCAACATAAGAACGGCATTCAGAAATTTGTGTAAGGAATCATTCAGAACCTTGTATACCACATATGTCAGGCCAATCCTGGAGTATGCAGCCCTAGCATGGAGTCCATATCTAGTCAAGAATAAGACCAAACTGGAAAAGGTTCAAAGGTTTGCCACCAGACTAGTACCCGAGCTGAGAGGTATGAGCTACGAGGAGAGACTACGGGAATTAAACCCCACTTCGCTGGAAGACAGAAGAGTTAAGGGGGACATGATCACCATATTCAAGATTCTCAAGGGAATTGATAGGGTAGATAAAGACAGTCTATTTAACACAAGGGGCACACACACACTAGGGGACACAGGTGGAAACTGAGTGCCCAAATGAGCCACAGAGATATTAGAAAGAACATTTTTAGTGTCAGAGTGGTTGATAAATAGCATGCATTAGGAAGTGATGTGGTGGAGACTGACTCCATACACAGTTTCAAGTGTAGATAAGATAGAGCCCAATAGGCTTAGGAACCTGTACACCTGTTGATTGACGGTTGAGAGGCCGGACCAAAGAGCCAGAGCTCACCCCCCCGCAAGGTGACACACAGCAGTAATCAGAGGCAATGTATCGGAATGGAGAAATGTCACAAGTGGAGTACCACAGGGTTCAGTTCTTGCACCAGTGATGTTTATTGTCTACATAAATGATCTACCAGTTGGTATACAGAATTATATGAACATGTTTGCTGATGATGCTAAGATAATAGGAAGGATAAGAAATTTAGATGATTGTCATGCCCTTCAAGAAGACCTGGACAAAATAAGTATATGGAGCACCACCTGGCAAATGGAATTTAATGTTAATAAATGGCATGTTATGGACTGTGGAATAGGAGAACACAGACCCCACGCAACCTATATATTATGTGAGAAATCTTTAAAGAATTTTGATACAGAAAGAGATCTAGGGGTGGTTCTAGATAGAAAACTATCACCTGAGGACCACATAAAGAATATTGTGCAAGGAACCTATGCGATGCTTTCTAACTTCAGAATTGCATTTAAATACATGGATGGCGATATAATAAAGAAATTGTTCATGACTTTTGT